CCAGCCGCAAAGGACTGAACGGGCTGGGGGGCGGCGAGACGGACGCCTCTCCCGCCACCCCCCCGCCCCGCCCCAAGGACCGCTCTTCCTTATCCCCTTCGGCAGCGGCTGCGTCAGGGACCCCGGCGGTTGCGGACAGTCCGAAATCTCAGGTACGGCCCTCGTCTCTGTACCCTTTTTCCTGCCCTCGTCCTCGGAAGCCGCCACACACACACACACAGCATTAACCCCTAAGCATGTGCAAAGTGCATCTTCAGCAGAGGAAAGAAAGAATTCCACACCATCAGGTGGATTCTGGTTCAAACGTGGTTTGAAGTTGGCTTGTTTTTTAAACTAACCGTAGTTACTGGCAAGAAGAGTCACAAAATCACAAACACACACAAACACACGCCCTGCATTCCACCTCGTTTGCACGTTTGGCCTGTGGTCACACTGATATTATTTAATTCCTGTTCGCTTGGCTTGAGCCTCACCTATTTATATGCCCGGCCAGCCGCCTACCTCTCCATAAGCAGCCCCAGACAGGTGGCCGAGCTCAGTGGGGGGGGGGGGGCCCCTTCTTAGCCCCGACAATCCGATTAAGGCTAATGGAAAGCAATTAAGCCACCTCCCCCTCCCCCCTGCAGAAGGACACACAAGATGCTTTAGTCGTCCTCCTTCTAAGGGGAGGGGAGAGGGCTTGGCCGTGGCTGGCCTGCAGACAATGATCTGAGCGATTTTGGATTTCAGAAGGAAACCCTAAGGCTGTTTACGGGGAATGGTCCCTGCGGAAACTGGCCATGTATTATTTTTGTGGGGACCTTGATTAATTTTTCCACCCAACTCACAAGCTGCTGCTTGCATGCCTTGGAAAAAAGGGGAGGGCGATTTTTATCCCGTGAAAGCTGGCCTGAATTGTTTGATTTTTAGCTGTCTAATAAAAGGGGGCCCCTTCCTCTGTGTTTGCATGGCGGGAAGGAGAGACCCAGGTATTCTCAACCGGCCCTGGAGTGGGTGGCGGGGGGGGGGAAAGACGTACAGAGCGGGCAGCCTCCATGGCCCAATAAGGTATTCCCAAACGTTCCTTAGATTTTATAAGATATAAATGCAAAAAAAAAAGAATTAACAAGAAGGGGAGAATGAGTAGCGTCTGCTTACACGCTCCACCGATCCATCAGAACTCATCCTTTTCCTCGAAAACCCAAAGTTTATTTGCAGTTGCTGTCTGCAGAACATTTATTTATTTAGTCAAGTATCCCGCACGTTTAGAGGACAAGCCACGTCCTCGGGGTGGCTTCCGAAAAATAAACAGACGAGCAGAATTAGAAGAAAGAATCTATTTTAAAAAAAAACCCTCATAAAACCTCCAGCCTAGTAAATATCCAAGACTCAGACTAGCGGACCGTCGGTCAGCGTGGAATTACGACAAAATTAATATTATGGAGTGAGGCTTGTAAAGATTTAGGGTGAAAAAAAGCCAGAATGCAGGTTCGTAGGTGGCTTAAGCAGAGGGGAAATCTAAGCATCGAGTGAGAGATGGGCAATATTTATTTCTCCATCTCTGGAGGGGTTTAATTTTTTTGTTTTGTTTTAGTTACTGTAGAAGCAGGAAGGAGCCAGCCATGTTCCTCGACAGTTAAATTCTGTGGTTTTAAAAGTCCACGGGTATATTATTATGCGCCGGTCAGTTGGAGCCCACTTCCGGACCCCCATAAGAACCCTTTCAAAGTCAGTGAGGCATCTAAAGGGGCGGGTCCCCAGCGGGGATTCGAACTCAGGCCCCCACGGCATGGACTACAATTCCCCGGTCGTCTGCGTCTACACATTATCAGAGATCTTTGTAACACACAGGGTGAATTGACTGCAACGTCTTCGGCTAGAAAGGAGCCACCACCGTAGAGACCCTTACCCTGCATCGTCAAGAAGCGTTATTTGTGCTTTGGTGCCGGCAGGCGATGCACCGCTTCTATAACGCAGCTATTTTTATTTTTTGGAAATAAATGCTAACATGGAGGCTTTCTCTCTTCCCCCCCCCAGCCCCCTGCCTNGAGTGGGGGCAGCCCCGGGGGGAAGCAGACGGGCCCGCTGCCGTGCAGCCGCTGCTGGAGCATCAGTACTGAAGGCGGGGGGGGGGGGGACTTGGCGTGACCCAGAGAACTACGGGCTGGTCCCGTCGGACTGCTCCTCTCACCCCCTTTGGAGAGGGGAGAGGCAAAAAAACACGCACTCCGCTTCCGGCTTTTCCCTTTCTTCAGGACCACGGACAGCAATAAGAGAGGAGGGGGGGCTGTTCCTTCCCGTTTTGGCTGCAGCCTTGTGAGCCCCCCCCATCCTTCACCCCCTT